CCAGTCCCCCCATCATCCTTGTTGCCCTCCTCTGGACTCTCTCCAGGAGTTCCTCATCTTTCTTGAACCGGGGAGCCCAGAACTGGACCCAGTACTCCAGGTGGGGTCTCACCGGGTCAGAGCAGAGCCCTTGCACCAGTGAGCTGCCCCGGGGCGTGCTGGCGGCTCTTCCAACAGTGCAGGGACAGGTAACGGTCAGTCAAACACAAGGGAAGATAAAGCACGGCCAAACCACCCTGATCAACAGCCACAGAGTCCTCCATGAGCAGGAACGACCCTGAGCCGGGCTGGGAAAGCCTACTGCTCGTGCGGATGCGTGGCTGGAATGAAAAATTCATTATTTACCAAGAGCAGCTCTCTGAGGCCTCCCCGGTGAAGAAACGAGCAGCGACTGAAGCGGTGCGGGCAAATATTCCTGAACCATTACGTCAGCGGCGATGCGATCGGCAACGTGAAGCCAGCCTCCGGTGAAGGGGCTGAGGCGGGGGCCGCAAGGCGGTGCCCCCAGCTGTGCGTGGGACCGCGCGCTCGTGCGCGGACCTCGTGCATGGGGATTGGCACGGCTGAGCAGCTTTGTCTCGCCCAGATCTTGCTTGAGCACAGCTTTAGTGGAAGCCCTGGGCAGCCGGGGTTTGGTGCGCTAGGGGATCCCAGGTGGGTGGGACAGGCTGTGGAAGAGGTCCCTGGGCACGGGTGGGTGCGAGGCGGCCATGGGCGGCAGCAGGAGGAAGCAAAAGCGTCCGAGTCTTTGGGGACCCAGCTCCCTGCTTTCTCTGGGGAAGGACCGCGTCACTTCGTGGGAAATCTGTCAACCCAGTTAGGGCTTGTGCCCTCTCCAGTCGGGCAGAGAGAAGGAGGCAAATGGACAAGGGTCAACCCCTCCAGGCATTGGGGAATGGCTTTAACCTCCAGCGTGGAAGGACGGGTTAAAGCCATCCCCGCTCCTCCTTTGTGATTACCCCCATGCAGATTTGAGGCTGGCCTTTGGAGTGTTGGCTTTTTGAGGTATGGCTTTTGTATTCTACCCGACGGGTCAACCTGCCTAAAATTTCAAGTACTCAGCCTTTACCTGAGCTCTGCTTTGCACCTGGCCATGAAGGGTAAAGCAGTTCATAGAACTACAGAATGCTTTGGGTTGGAAGGGAGCTTTAGAGGCCACCCAGCCCAACCCCCCTGCAGGGAGCAGGGACATCTTCAACCAGATCAGGTTGCCCACAGCCCCGTCCAGCCTGGCCTGGAATGTTTCGTGGGACCAGCTCGTAAGGCACTCTGGAGGGAGGGGACGATGGGAGGGACGTGCTTAATGCATGACTTCCAGCACAGGGCTCTTGTCTGCTGATTTATCTGGGGTTTACCCTGGCAGGTCTATGGGATTGTACTGCATTCCTGGGCTGCAGCAGCGGGCCCTCCCTGCTGACAGCGTGCTCCAGGAAGTCTTCGGCGTGCTTCACCCCTCTCATCGCTACATGCCTGATGACAAGCCACTGGAGCTGACAGTCATCGAAATTGTGGCGTTGCATAGTAATGAGGCGGTGTAATCACAGAATCCTAGAATCCCAGGTTGGAAGGGACCTCAAGGATCACCTGGCCCAACCTTTCTGGGCAAGAGCCCAGCCCAGACAAGGTGGCCCAGTGCCACAGTGTCCAACGTGGTGGAGTCAACCCCTCCCCTGGGGAGATTATTCCAAGGGGTGACTGTTCTCATGGGGAAAAGTTTCCCTCTCATGTTCAGCTGGGACGTGTGTCCATGCCTCTTGTCCTCTCCATGGGACTCCTGACAAGGGAGTCTCCATCTTCCCTGTAGCCACCCCTTAGGTACTGGTACATGGTGATGAGATTCCCCTGAGCCCCAGCCCATCCCCATACAGCTGAGAGAGGCTTCCTCCAAGGGGTGACTGTTCTCATGGGGAAAAGTTTCCCTCTCATGTTCAGCTGGGACGTGTGTCCATGCCTCTTGTCCTCTCCATGGGACTCCTGACAAGGGAGTCTCCATCTTCCCTGTAGCCACCCCTTAGGTACTGGTACATGGTGATGAGATTCCCCTGAGCCCCAGCCCATCCCCATACAGCTGAGAGAGGCTTCCCAGCCCTTGGGTCACCTTGGTGGCCCTGCTCTGGGCCCCTCCAGCCTGTCCAGTCCTTGGTGGTGTCGGTCTGTATCATGCTGGGTGTTGAGGGTTCTGCCGATCCATCATCAATCCTAAGGTCTCCTAGTAAGAAGCTGGGTGTGTGGATGAGATGTGGACGCTGGATGGCTGCAGGACGTAGGAGGCCACCCAGCCACTTACTCCAGTTCCCACAGCCACTGCCTGCTTCTGCAGTGTTTTGGAAACCAGCTGGGCTCCAGCCTTGCAAGGCAATCATGCTTTGGGGCAGTGGGGTTGGCACTGTTGTTCCTGTTAGAGGGGTCCTCTAGTTTGCCACAGCTTTAAGAACCGATTGTTTGTTGGCAATTTCTGCATTAATTTATTCTTAACTCATTTAGGTTACTTTTATATGTGAAGGGTGTAGACAGCCCACGTTTACCGGGGGACTGAAAAGCAGACGCTTGTTCCTCTAACAGAAGTGATCTTGGGTGACGGGTACCTGAGTCGGCTCTTGAACGACTGCAGGCCAAAACGTCGCTCCAGCAGTTTGCTCATTTGGGTAAAGATCTGGGTACCTGAGTGGAGGAGCTGCTAGTAATTACCCAAGCCAGTCTGACGCTGCCTTTCATCAGCCACGTTGTGCCTTTCCTACTTCCTCCTTCACAGGTGAACAAACCCACCAGGGCCTGCTGAGATGTTAGGTGGCACTGAGTTCTGCACAGGGCTGATCAGAAGCAGATGCAGGAGGCGATGGACAGCCCAGACGTATGGTTTGTGCCAGGTACATGGGCAGGAGCAACAGCAGGCAGCCACGCCAGGAGCACCGGTTCTTTGCTGTGATAGTGTGTCATATAAACAGGTATTTAAAGACATTTTGCAGGCTTTTAATAGTCAATTAGAGATCTGTTTCATGGATACATTTACATTTAATTCAAAGTACTGGGAGCCTAAACTTGGAATCCAGAATCACAGATTCGTTTTTTCCCTACCACACTCCATCTCCAAAGGGCACCAGTTGACGTCAGATGCCTCTGAATAGAAAGGTGCTCAAAATTCTGGCAGGATTGGGGGAAATTTTTGCCAAGCATACATATTTTATTGGTAGAACTTGCATAATAGTACTACTGCAAGCTTATGAGTCACTCAACAAATTTACAAAATAAAGTACAAAATCTCTTGTGTAATTGGATTTTTTATCTAGGGTAGTTTAAAAAAAGTCTAGAAGTAAGTACAAAACCCAGCCAAACATGTTTCTTGTTTAATCTCTTCCCTCCTCCTCTTCTGGTTTACCCAGAAACTCATCACAAGTTTTCATTCTGTTATCTTCCTCCCAAAACCAAACCCATCAGGATTTACTTTTTTTTTTTTTAAAAAAATCTGATGCCTGCAGCCCCACCCTGTTTTAACGCACCAACAGTAACAATGACAGGAGGACATTTCATCTCTTGTTCTACTGCCTTTGTTCACAAAGTGTTCCATAAATGGAAATTGGAATTTTCAGTTATGGAAACCCCGCTTGTTGATAAGAGCAAATTGTTGTTCGGTGACATCCTTGCTCCATAAAGCAGGAATTCAGATCCTGACTGTTGAAAAGGACGTTTTCCTTCCGTATATGTCGATACCCATATTTTTGTACATGTTATAACCCTGTTCTCTTTTGTCAGACAAATGGCACATCCTCAGCTTGCTTGGCGTGATTTGAA